CTCCCTCCTTCCCTCTTTCTTTCTTTCTTTCTTTCTTTCTTTCTTTCTTTCTTTCTTTCTTTTTCTTTCTTTCTTTCCTTCTTTTTTTCTTTCTTCCTTCCTTCTTCCTTCCTACTTGCCTTCCTTAATTTCCTCTCTATCCTCCCTCTCTCCTTCTTCCTCCTTCCTTCCTTCCTACTACTTACCTTACTTCATTTCCTCTCTATCCCCCTCCCTCCCTCCCTCTTCTTTCTTTCTTTCTTTTTCTTTCTTTCTTTCTTTCTTTCTTTCTTTCTTTCTTTCTTTCTTTCTTTCTTTTTTTCTTTCCTTCCTTCCTTCCTTCCTTCCTACTTGCCTTCCTTAATTTCCTCTCTATCCTCCCTCTCTCCCTTCTTCCTCCTTCCTTCCTTCCTACTACTTACCTTACTTCATTTCCTCTCTATCCCCCCCCTCCCTCTTTCTTCTTTCTTTCTTTCTTTCTCTTCTTTCTTTCTTTCTTTCTTCTTTCTTTCTTTCTTTCTTTCTTTCTTTCTTTCTTTCCTTCCTTCCTTCCTTCCTTCCTACTTGCCTTCCTTAATTTCCTCTCTATCCTCCCTCTCTCCCTCTTCCTCCTTCCTTCCTTCCTACTACTTACCTTACTTCATTTCCTCTCTATCCCCCTCCCTCCCTCCCTCTTTCTTTCTTTCTTTCTTTTTCTTCTTTCTTTCTTTCCTTCCTTCTTCCTTCCTTCTTGCCTTACTTCATTTCCTCTCTATCCTCCCTCTCTCTCTCCCTCCTCCTTCCTTCCTTCCTACTACTTAGCTTACTTCATTTCCTCTCTATCCCCCTCCCTCCCTCTTTCGTTCTTTCTTTCTTTCTTCTTTCTTTTTTCTTTCTTTCCTTCCTTCCTTCCTTCTTTCCTACTTGCCTTATTTCATTTCCTCTCTATCCTCCCTCCCTCCCTCCCTCCTTCCTTCCTTCCTTCCTTCCTTCCTTCTACTTGCCTTCCTTCATTTCCTCTCTATCCTCCCTCCAGCCCAACCATCTCAAAGGTTCCCTGTAGATCCCTCCGTCTTCTCATCCCCCTTTTCTTTTGTTCCTGCAGGGCCGTGTTGCGCTGGTTTCCTCCAACGTTGGGAAATTTGACGTAAGGATAAACTTTGGCTCTTTGCTGGGATGGGGGGAAGGCAGTGCCTCTTTCAGGCAGAAGCAGGATGGAAGAGACCAACTCAACCTTCATCCTTCTTCTCCATCCCCCTTGGATGAGTTAGGACTCTAAAATGTTTTTCCTCTGGACACAGGTCTCCCTGATGGAGGCACTGGTGAGCAAGATCTTTGAACTGGCCTTCCTTCCTTCCATGAACGGTAAGAGAATTCCAGACTTCAACTCAGCGTTTCTCAACCTGGACAACTGGCAGAGGTGTGGACTTCAACTCCCAGAATTCTCTGCGACAGCAAATGTGGCTAGAGAATTCTGGGAGCAGATGTCCACACCTCTGGAAGCTACCAGGTTGACCAACAGGGTTCTGGATACTTTGTGGAGGATGGAGGGATAATGGTCTAGTGAAGAGAAGGACCAGGGGAGACAGGAGAGCAGTCTTTCAATATTGGAGGGGCTGCCACAGAGAGGAGGAGGGGGGTCAAGTTATTTTCCAAAGCACCAGATAAGGCCAGACAAGGAACAATGGATGGAAACTGAACAAGGAGAAATTCAACCTAGAAATAAGAATTTTTCTGACATTGAGAACCATCAACGGATGGAAGAGAAGTTGCCTTCAGAAGTTGTTGGAGCTTCATCACTGGAGGCTTTCAAGAAGAGACTGGGCTGCCATTTGTCATAAATGCTGTAGGGTCTCCTGCTTGGATGGGGGGGTGGACTAGATGACCTACAAGACCCCTTTCAACTCTATTATTCTGTATTGATCTGTTTTCACCAAACTAGATGCTAGATGATGAGCACAACAGGCCATGTTGCTCACAAAAGATCTCTTCTCTGTGCCTCTCACTCCAAATATATGGTTGAATTTAAGAAAAGGTCCCATTAAAATGGCTAAAAATAATAATAATAAACCAATAGAAGGGAATATTTGTAACTGAGGGTTAATTCTTGGTGGTCTCTGAGCGTGATTGTCTTCTTGCAGATGTTTCATGACCCAGTTAGATCACATCATCAGTGCTAGAAGGGAGAGGGGTTTGTGGAGTGGAGAAGGAGAAGGAGAGAAGATGGAGAAGGAGAAGGAAAGAAGATGGAGACAGCAGGAGGAGGAGGAGGAGGGAGGAGGAGAAGAAGAAGGGAGGAGAAGGAGAAGGAAGATGGAGATTGGAGAAGGAAGATGGAGATTGGAGAAGGAGGAGGAGGAGGAGGAGAAGGAGAAGGAGAAGGAGAAGGACGAGGAGGAGGAGAAGGAGAAGGAGGAGGAGGAGGAGGAGAAGGAGAAGGAAGGAAGATGGAGATTGGAGAAGGGAGGAGGAGGAGGAGAAGGAGAAGGAGAAGGAGAAGGAAGATGGAGATTGGAGAAGGAGAAGGAGAAGGAGAAAAACTGTGAGGTCTTTGGCACTCTCTGAATTTGATTGTTTTCATGCAGATATTTCATGACCCAACTAGGTAACATCATCTGTGCGAGAAGAGTTTGGGGTATGCGCTCTGTTTATGTCACTTTCTCTATCAGTCTTGGTGGTTCCTTGGTTGAGGTTTAATACTAGCCCAACAATCAAGAAGTAAACAATACCCCAATCAAGCAAGTACCAACTCAAATCAACAAGTTAACAAATCAAGAAACCACCAAGAAGAAGACAACACTCCCACCAACACTGACATAAGAAACCACTTGAATATGAACACAGAGCAAACCCCACTCCTTCTACCACTGATGATGTTACCTAGTTGGGTCGTGAAATGCCTGCAAGAAAACCACCAACCTTGGAGAGCATCAAGGACCCCACAGTTCTCCTCCTCCTCCTCCTCCTCCTCCTCCTCCTCTCTGCAAACCCCACTCCCTTCTAGCACTGATGATGTTATCTAGTTGGGTCATGAAACGCCTGCAAGAAAACCACCCAGCTTGGAGGGCACTAAGGAGCCCCAATAATAACCTAATTAAATGGACCCTCCATGGACTTATCTACATGAAAATGCCTTCTGGTGAACAGAAAGGGCGTTTTAAAGACTTTGGGTTGTGTTGGTGGCTTTCCTGAGCTTCCTGGGAAGGGGAGAAGAACAAGATTTAAAATCCCCTCTTCTGAAAACGTAAATTTCATCCGTTGACGCTGAAGCTGTTGCCGTAAATCCTTCAGCTGATAGAAAATAAGAGCAGGATCCAGACAGTGAATGCTGGAGATCGTTATTAATGTTCAATAGGTAGCAAAGTCGTGGCATTTCTCCTTGGGGAAAGGACCTTAAATTGATGGGCCTTCGAGAGGACCACAAAAAAATCGGCTGCAATTTTCAGGTTGCAAAGAAAAGTGTCTCCTTGGCAGCTTAGGGAGAACTGCCCGAGTCACCAATGAAAACCTGGCTTGTTTGCCACAAGAGATATTGCAAAAGGCAGATTTCTTTGAGGCACAGCCGAGACCGGGGGGGGGGAAGGGGGGAGGAGAAGGAAGCAAAAACTCCCAAATTTGCCTTTGAGCTTAGAAACCTGATCCGTTTTGTTTCTGCCTGCAGAGGTCCTAGGCGGAGGGGTTCCTCTCCCCAAACTGCTGAACATCGATTTCAACAACGCTTCAGTCGATGTCATCGAAGTAAGTGCTACAGAAGGATGTTGGTAATGTATGCGTAGGAGAGAGGGGGGAGGGAGGCAGGGAGAAGGAGAGGGAGGGGAGGGAGGGCAGAGGAGAGAGGGGGAGGAGAAGAGAGAGAAAGGGAGGGAGGGAGGGAGGGGGAGGAAGGGAGGGAAGGAGGGAGAGGGAGGGAGAGAGGGAGGGAGGGAGAGGGGAGGGAAAGGAGAGGGGAAGAGAGGGGGGAGGGGGGGGAGGGAGGGGAAGAGAGAAAGGGAGGGAGGGTGAGATAGGGAGGAAGGGAGGGAAGGAGGGAGAGGGAGGGAGAGGAAGGGAGGGAGGGAGAGGGAGGGAGAGAGGAAGAAAGGAGGGAGGGAGAGAGGGAGACAGAAGAAGTGAGTGGTGAGAAGAGTTAAAGAGTCAAGATGTCACATTTTCAAGACCTTTTAATGCTTTCTGGAAGACTTAATTGGACAAAGGCCTTGGTGCATTTTGGCCACCATCATTGGTCCATTTGTGGTCACCACTATTTGTGCATTTGTGGCCATCATTATTGATGCGGTGGCCTAGAGGTGGAGCTCTGGCCTCACAATCAAGAGGCTGTGAGTTCGATCCTAGCTAGAGGCAGATATTTCTCTCTCTGGGCACACTGAGAATATACCTGCTGAACTAAACTCAGCACTGGCGACAGGGAAAGGCATCCGGCCATTTAAAAAACACTCTGCTAGCTCCATTCAGTTGCCCAGACTCCACCCCGCAAGGGATTATGGGGTCATTAAAAGATGATGATTATTGGTGCACTATGTGATTGCCACTAGTGGTGCTTTGTGGTCACCACCATTGGTGCATTTCTGGTCACCAGTATTCGTGCATTTGTGGGCACCACCATCGGTGCATCTGTGGTTGGGGTCCAACAAGCAAAGTCAATGGGGAAAGCCAGATTCGCTTAAAAACCACGTGATTCACTTAACTTCAGTGATTCAATGAACAACTGGGGGTGAAAAAAGGTGAAGAAGAATCAGGTGTGTCTCATTTAACGACTGCCTTGCTTAGCGATGGAAACTCTGGTCCCAATTGTAGGCATCCGTTGAGGGCTACCTATTCTCTCAGCATTGCTCAATAAACAAGGAAGCCCACAAATTTTATGAGCCAATCTTCTAAACTTTTCACCGAATGGTAGGATGATTGAGAGGGCCACCATACCAGAGGTGGGATTCAGCCGGGTTCGTGCTGGTTCGGGAATCTGTAGTTAAATTGCTGGCTGGCCCAGCCCCTCCTCGCCCCTTCCAGGAGTCCCCATGCTCCCCATTTTGGCTCCCAGGTAAGTGCAGGGAGGCCTACTAGGCCCAAAATGGGGTGTGGGGAAGGGGGTGTGGCACCCCCCCACCCCCGAGGCCCATTTTCACTCCCAGGAGGTTTCAGTGAGGCTTCCTAGGCCCAAAACAGGGCTTGGGGAAGGGGGGTGCAGCGCCCGCGCCCGCAATCTGTTTTTGCTCCCAGGGGGGGTGCAGGAGGCCGAGTGCTGCCTGTCACACACCCCCTAACCACGCCTATCATGGCCACACCCACCCAGCTGGTCATTAGGGCAGAGAACCGGTTGTTAAATTATTTGAATCCCACCACTGGCCTAAACCCCATGTTCTTGAGATCCTTCCTTCCCAGATTTTGGTGATGTGGGGTGCGGCGGGAAAGGATCAGGGGTGAAATGCTCCCGGTTTGGACCGGATCGCCTGATCCGGTAGTGATGGTGGCGGGTGGTTAGGAGAACCGGTAGCAAAAATCCCTGCCCCCCCCCACCCCATGCCCAGCTGAGCCACACAATCATCAGAGACTTTTTTTTTTTTACTTTTAAAAGCATTTTTTCTACAACCTCTTCGGCTGAAAAAATGCCTTTAAAAGTAAAAAAAAAAAGCCTCTGATGATTGCACGGCTCAGCTGGGATCGTCGAAGGCTTTTAAAAGAAAAAAAACCTCTTTTTTTCTTTTAAAGGCCTCTGACGATCCAAGCTGAGTTGCCTGATCGGCAGAGGCTTTTTAAAAAACTCAGCTTGGATCGTCAGAGGCATTTAAAAGAAAAAAAAAACCCCTATTTTTCTTTTAAATGCCTCTGACGATCCCAGCTGAGTGGCAATTCAGCTGGGATCACCAGAGCCTTTTTTTTACAACCTCTTCCCCAAAGAGGTTGCCCACAGAACCGGTAGTAACAAATTTTAGATTTCACCACTGGAAAGCATCACAAACTTCCTGGGTGGTGTCAGAAGACCCCTCCTCCAAATTCCTAGGCAGGAGGAATGATATCCCCACCCCGTGAAAGTCGCAAGAAGACAGGTCCACCCTACGGGAATTCATCAACTGGGTCTCTTTTGCTCAGGATCTGCTGGTGTTGTCTGCATAAGAGGAGACCTCGGTGGAGGACAACAATGGAGAAGAATGAGAAGAAGGAGAAGAAGAAGAAGAAGAAGAAGAAAGTTTCTTGCAGCAGGATCCATCCTTCCCCTTCCTCATCATACACAGCTTTGAGTTTCTCCTTCCTTCTGGGCAAAAAAAAGCCACACAGGTCCTCACTTCGTAGGCAGGGAAGACAAGGAGTCGGTTCTCCAGAAGGGACAAGGGTGGCCTTTTGGGCTGTCCTCACCAGGCTTCCATACAGCTTTGTCGTTTCCAAGCGGGTTGTGAGCCAGGCCCTCCCTGCACCGACACACACACACACACACAGAGCCAACGAAGTTGCGTTTCTCTCGCCTGACCCGTTTTAATAAAAGCTTCTGATTTCATTGCACTTTTGAGTCTGTAGACATGCGAAAGATCGTTGGCCGTTGGGAAAGAGGGTGGAGAAAACGTCCTTGCAGGCAGTTCTCAACTTACGACAGTTCGCTTAGTGACCGTTCGAAGTTACGACAGCACCGGGAAAAGTGACTTAGGACTGTTTTTTTTCACCCTTGTGACCGTTGCAGCACCCCCATGGTCAGGATTCAGGCAACTGACTTGTATTTATGATGGTTGCTGTGTCCAGGGAGGCGGGGTGTGTGTGTGTGTGTGTCACGTGATCCCCTTTTGCAACCTTTTGACAAGCAAACTGAACGGGGATTCACTGAACAACCCTAAGTGCTATTACTATTTTCCTTCCTAATTTCCGCTATGGGTTCGCCAGAACCTGTCAGAACCTGCTGGATTTCACCCGTGGTGCAGTTGTTTGGGTTCCTCCCTTTCTTTCCCATCCTTCCTTCCTTCCTTTCTCTTTCTTTCTTTCTCTCTTTCTCTCTCTCCTTCCTTCCATCTTCTTTCTTTCTCTCTTTCTCTCTTTCTTTCTTTCTTTCTTTCTTTCTTTCTTTCTTTCTTTCTTTCTTTCTTTCTTTCTTGGCCAAGTGTGTTTGGACACACAAGGAATTTGTCTCCGCTGCATAAATTCCCAGTGTACCTATAAACAGTAGGTAAATCGGCCATAGATCATAAATCATCATTACAATCATTAATCATAAGTTACGAACGATTGTATCTTACAATTAATGATTAATGTACATTTGGTAAATCAAAAGAAACCAACAGGAGAAGGTAGCAGGAAAGATGAGAAACGATGAGAAATGAAACAGTGCTAGGGGAATTAATTGTTCAGCAGAGTGATGGCATTCGGGAAAAAAAACTGTTCTTGTGTCTAGTTGTTCTGGTGTGCAGTGCTCTATAGCGTCGTTTTGACAGGTTGAAACAATTTATGTCCAGTATGCAAGGGATCTGTAAATATTTTCCCAGCCCTCTTTTTGACTCATGCAGTCTACAGATCCTCCATGGAAGGCGGGTTGGTAGCCATTGTTTTTTCTGCAGTTCTAATGATCCTCTGAAGTCTCTGTCTGTCTTGTTGGGTTGCAGAACCAAACCAGACAGTTATGGAGGTGCAGATGACAGACTCAATAATGCTCCTTCGGCAACCGGAGCTTTCTGAGTTGACGCAGGAAGAATTTATTTATTTATTCATTTATTTTATTCAATTTATATCCCGCCCTTCTCCAAGTGGACTCAGGGCAGTGCACAGCCAGAACTAAAACACATATCAATACAAAATTTAAAAGAATTAAAAGAATTAAATAACTGTGGCCCAAAAATTTAAAACATTGAAAACTAAAACCCCTTTGACAATTTAAAAGCTAAAAAACTAAAAAAAAGGGGGGGGTGGGGTTCACACCAGCCCTGCTTGATGGAAAAGAAAAGTTTTTAGGGCACGGTGAAAAGTCCGGAGGTCTGATATCCTTCGTATCTCCGGGGCAAATCGTTCCAGAGGGCGGGGGCTGCCACAGAGAAGGCCCTCCCCCTGGGGGTCGCCAGCCGACATTGCCTGGCTGACGGCACCCTGAGGAGTCCCTCTCTGTGGGAGCGTACTGGTCAGTGGGAGGCTATCGGTGGCAGAAGGCGGTCCCGCAAGTACCCAGGTCCGATGCCATGGAGCGCTCTAAAGGTGGTGACCAACACCTTGAAGCGCACCCGGAAGACCACTGGAAGCCAGTGCAGCTCACGCAGGAGAGGTGTCACATGGGAGCGACCCCTCGCTCCCATAATCCCCTGCGCGGCCGCATTCTGCACCAGTTGGAGCCTCCGGGTGCTCCTCAAGGGGAGCCCCATGTAGAGAGCATTGCAGTAGTCCAGGTGGGAAGTAACGAGTGCCTGAGTGACCGTGCGTAAGGAGTCCCGATCCAGAAAGGGACGCAACTCGCGAATCAGGCGGACCTGATAAAAAGCCCCCCTGGCCATGGCCGTCATATACTCTTCTAAAGACAGCCGTGCATCCAGGAGGACGCCCAAGTTGCGAGCCCTCTCCGTGGGGGCCAATAACTCGTCCCCAATAGTCAGCGATGGCACCAGCTGGCTATATCGGGACGTCGGAAGCCACAGCCACTCGGTCTTGGAAGGGTTGAGTCGAAGCCTGTTTCTCCCCATCCAGATCCGCACGGCCTCCACACACCGGGACATCACTTCAAGGGCATCGTTGGGGTGGCCTGAGGTGGAGATGTACAGCTGAGTATCATCAGCGTACTGATGGAACTCCACCCCAAAGCCATGGATGATCTTGCCCAGCGGCTTCACATAAATGTTGAACAGAAGGGGCGAGAGGACTGACCCCTGCGGCACCCCACAAGCAAGGTGCCTCGGGGTCGACCTCTGCCCCTCTGCCAACACCGACTGCGACCGGTCGGAGAGATAGGAGGAGAACCACTGCAAGAGAAGAACCAACAACAAAGAATGTTCTTTGTTGTGCCTTTTTAACAATGGTTCTAATGTGTTTTTTTTTTAAAAAAAAATTTGATTTATATGCTGCCCTTCTCCGGAGACTCAGGGCAGCTTACAATGCGTTAAGCAATAGCCTTCATCCTTTTGTATATTTATACAAAGTCATCTTATTGCCCCCACAAACTGGGTCCTCAATTTACCTACCTTAGAAAGGATGGAAGGCTGAGTCAGCCTTGAGCCTTGGTGATGTTAGTTGTCCATTTCAAGTCCTGGGAGATTATAGAGCTTAGAAAGTTAAAGGTCTCTACTGTTGATCCCATGTTGCCTTTTAAGGATCAGCTTGAGGTCACCAGATGAGCAGTGATGTACATGTCGAGAATAAGACTCCAAAACAAGAGCATGTGGGACGAGGAGGAGGAGGAGGAGGAGGAGGGGATGTGATGTTGAAAGGCCAGATCCCAGGATTCCTAGTCCTTTCCTGGTCCACCGTTCTGCATATTACAGAGTTGGAAAGGACCATGGAGGTCTTCTAGTCCAACCCTCTGCCCAAGCAGGAAAGCCTATACCATTCTGAACAAATGGCTGTCCAATCTCTTCTTAGAAACTTCCAATAATGGAGCACCTACAACTTTTGGAGGCAAGCCGTTCCACTGATTATAGCCTTCTCCAAGTAGACTACCGTTGATCGGTTGCTTTCATGGCTTCTGAGTATCTGAAGAGGCCCTTGAACCTTTGTCTTTTAAATCTTCAAAATCCATTTCAAAACCCACCCTCACACGTATTTCTGAGATGACAACACCAGTGTTGCTTGAGAACTTGGAATACTGCATCCAGCATTGGTCGTCACAATGTAAAAGGATGTGGAGACTCTGGAAAGAGTGCAGAGAAGAGCAACAGAGATGATGAGGGGACTGGAGGCTAAAACATACGAAGAATGGGTGAAGGAATTGGGTGTGTCTAGTCTAATGAACAGAAGAACTAGGGGAGACATGACAGCAGTCTTCCAATATCTCAGGGGTTGCCACAAAGAAGAGGGAGTCAAGCTATTCTCCAAAGCCCCTGAGGGCAGGACAAGAAGCAACAGGTGGAAACCAATCAAGGAGAGAAGCAACTTAGAACTAAGGAGAAATTTCCTGATAGTTAGAACAATTAATCAGTGGAACATCTTGCCTCCAGATGTTGTGGCTGCTCCATCACTGGAGGTCTTCCAGAAGAGACTGGGCAGCCATTTGTCTGAAACGGTTGTAGGGTTTCCTGTCTCAGCAGGGAGTTGAACTACTAGAAGATCGCCAAGATCCCTTCCAACTCTGTTATTCTGTTCTGGTCTCTACTGAGATACTTCAGACAGGACCTAAATTATATGGGAAGTTCTTCTGCTGATATCTAAGCCTCCTTCCCTATTCCTTCCCCCCACAAAAGTTGGGTTCCTATTATGGTTGTTGGATTCGACTTAGAATAAACTTTATGGTCACTTTGAATAAACTTGATAGGCACTAATCGGCATACATTAAAATGAAATCACGTTGCATACAGCTCTCAAAGGGTCTCCACCTCTAATATGCACATAAACAGGACAAGATAAATAAGTAAGTAAGTAAGTAAATAAATAAACAAAATTATGCATGTGTGATCCTTGCCCATCATGCTGCTTCCTTGGTGGAAACGCCCCCCTCTGCACCAGTGGGAGAGTTGAGGAGAAGCCCAGCTGCCACCCAGCCTGATTCTCAGCCCAACCCAAAATTGGTCAAAGTGGTTTCCTGACTCAGGATTGTGACCATGTGGATCCAGAGGTCTTCAAACATGGCAGCTTTAAGACTTGTGGACAAGTCTTAAAGCTGCCATGTTTGGGGACCTCTGGGATAGACAGACATATAGGGAGGTAAGGCTTTGGAGTTAGAATCCACCCCTTCCCACCCATTTGACTGATCGTGATGTTGAGTCCATCGGCAGAAGGTCTCCCAAGGTCATCTTCCCTACCTACCATAAATGCATCTGTCAGCCCTGAAGCCATTTTTGGGGAGCATCTAACCTCCCTTTGATTTTCTCTTGCCAGGAGATCCTCCTCAACTGAGGGGGGCAGCCTGTCAGCCGTGAAGCCATCTTTTGGGAGCATCTTCAGGGCTGCCACAGCGAGGCCAGGTGGAGCTGTGGGAACGTAAGGAGGGAGGTAGAGCTAGCTGGGGGATGTGTAGCCAAAATAACATTCTTTCTCGTGGGAGCCAAGGACGCTCTACCAGATGTTGGAAGGATATGGACCAAAGCCAGCTAGAGCTGGGACTACAGCCTGATTGGGGCCATGTGATGGACATGTGACCTGGGGCCCCCCAAGAACATTGGGTTTTGATGAACCTGGGTCCTTCAGAGTCGGGTTTTCATCAGCTGTGCCAATATGACAACCCAAATAAAATTATGCTTTGAGAAAACTGTAGGCCTCAGGGTTTTGATTGCTTTGGGGTTATTACTTGGAAGCCTGACAGCATTTCTTAATTTTAAAAAAAAATCCCACTTGCTTGATTGGTCAATGAAGATATAGCACTGAATATTCCAGCACAGAATGTTCCAGAAGTCATTCAAGTTGAGCCATCCATAAATATCAACGACTTGCCATGCCAACCAAGAGAGGGTGTTTCCATCCATCCCTCACTTCTTCTCCTGCCTTCTTATGGACTCAGACAGATACATTTGAGTGTGCCGGCGATTGCGTCTTCTCCGGTCTTGTCCCCCCATATTTTAGTGACTTCTCTGGTGAAGCCCCCTCGTTTGGTGGCATCCACATTGCATTTGCATAGCACCAAAGGCTGCTGGGAAGAGCCCCTCACTGTGAGTTCAGGAGGACCGAGACGAAGTCCAGGGGACCCACGCGCCTAACGGCGCCCAAATCATATAACTCGAAATTTAAATCAGCAGTAGTTCATCCTTGGTAAGTCCTTCTGTGATTGCAATTTGATTTTAGAATGTCTGGCTTAGCTTAATGCAACACTTTGTTTTGCAGATTACAGATTAACAGAGTTGGAAGGAGCCTTGTAGGTCATCTAGTCCAACCCCCCCTCCCCCCGCCCAAACAGGAGACCCTACACCATTGCAAATTTGGTAAATTCCCCTTTTATTCCCTCATCTAAGTCGTTTATGAAGATATTGAAGAGTCCTGGGCCTAAGACGGAAGCTTGTGGTATCCCACTGCTTACTTTGCTCCATGTAGACGTAGATCCATTAAGAACTACTCGTTGAGTACGGTTTGTCAGCCAGTTTGTTTGTTTGTTTTATTAAATTTATATACCACCCTACTCCCGAAGGACTCAGGGCGGTGAACAGGCACAGAATAAAATACATAAATACAAAAGTTAGAAACATAATTAAAACCAAATTAAATAATTTAGCCCAAGACAATTAAAAATCCCAATAATTTAAAAACAAATTAAAATTCCAATTTAAAAATTTAAAAGAAAGGGGAGAAAATTAGGCCAGGCCGGCTTGCTGGAATAGGAGGGTCTTAAGAGCATAGCGGAAAGTGCGCAGATCCGGGATCCTCCGTATCTCCGGGGGGAGCTCGTTCCAGATAGTGGGTGCCCCCACAGAGAAGGCCCTCCCCCTGGGGGCCGCCAGTCGACACTGCTTGGCTGACGGCACCTGGAGGAGCCCCTTTCTATGAGAGCGTACCGGCCGGTGGGAGGCTGTTTGTGGTAGTAGGCGGTCCCGTAAATAACCAGGTCCTAAGCCATGGAGCGCTCTAAAGGTGGTAACCAAAACCTTGAAGTTATGAATCCATCTGGTGGTGAAGCCATCTATCCCACTTTTTTCTAGCTTACGAAGAAAATGTTTTGTGGTCTACTTTGTCGAATGCCTTGCTGAAATCTAAGTATACTATATCCACAGTATTTTGCTACTAATTTAGTCACTATGTTGCAGCTGTCTTTCGTGTGCTCTGTTTGGATACTGTCCTATTTGTAAACAAATTGCGAGTCTACCTGGACAGATTGCTAGAGTTCCCCAATCTCTCTGCCTTTGTGGACCGGTGGGGGGAGGGGCAGAAGGAATGGTTCCATGTAAGTGGCAGGCAAGTGTACACTAACACACACCTCCATTTGCACGAGCGGCAGGCACGTGTACCCCCTGCTCACACAAATGGAGCACAAGTGCTCACTCACTGCCTGAAGTGGGGATGCGCACATGCGTTCACCCACCACTTCCTGTGGCCTGGTTCCGAACAGCTCAAGGCCCTGTAATGGACCGCGGCCTGGAGCTTGGGGACCCCTGATCTAGAGTCTCTAGTCTGTGCTCCCCAGGCTGAAATTAGTTGTCCTGCTCAGCCACTCTGTTCCATGGAGATGTCCCGTTATGCGCCCCCTCTACCAAAAAGATCCTGCAGGAGAAGAGCAGTAAGGACATCTCCAGGGTGAGAGCTGTGAACCACAAACCCAAAGCTTTTGGTGTGTCCCTGCCTAAGAGACACAGCTGACCTTAATCGAGATACTGAGGTGGCAGGACCAGCTGTTTGCAATGATGACCATAACTCACCTGAGCAGGAGGTTGTGGTCCGAGAGGAAGAAGGTTGTTTTGGATAGGAGAAGGTGTGAAACTGTGATGACTCCCGCCAGGACGCTTCCCCAGATACCTCTCCAGATGTCAATTTGCAGGAGGATGAACCACTCCTGGGAGGGGAGTTGGGGAATGGCTCTGAGCAGATGACAGAGAGCTATTTTTTATTTTATTTTTATTTTTTATTTTTCAATTTATATACCGCCCTTCTCCCTGAGGACTCAGGGCGGTGCACAGCCAGAATTAAAAACATGATCTGATTCGCCAGTTGCGTCCCTTTCTGGATCGGGACTCGTTATGCACGGTCACTCATGCCCTCGTCACCTCCCGCCTGGACTATTGCAACGCTCTCTACATGGGGCTCCCCTTGAGGAGCACCCGGAGGCTCCAACTGGCGCAGAGTGCGGCCGCGCGGGTGGTAATGGAAGCGACATGGCGCTCCCATGTAACACCCCTCCTGCGCGAGCTGCACTGGCTCCCGGTGGTCTTCCGGGTGCGCTTCAAGGTTTTGGTTACCACCTTTAAAGCGCTCCATGGCTTAGGGCCTGGTTATTTATGGGACCGCCTACTACCACCAATAGCCTCCCACCGGCCAGTACGCTCTCATAGAGAGGGGCTCCTCCGGGTGCCGTCAGCCAAACAGTGTCGACTGGCGGCCCCCAGGGGGAGAGCCTTCTCTGTGGGGGCACCCGCCATCTGGAATGAGCTCCCCCCGGAGATACGGAGGATCCCGGATCTGCGCTCCTTCCGCCGTGCTGTGAAGACCTTTTTATTCCATCAAGCGGGCTTGGCCTGATCTCTTCCCTTTTTAAATATGTAAATTTTAATCTGTTTTTAAATTATTGGGGTATTTTAATTTGTCTGAGCCAAATAATTTAATTTGATTTTATCGGGTTTTTAAATTTTGTGTATTTATGTATTTTATTGTTGGCTGTTCACCGCCCTGAGTCCTTCGGGAGTAGGGCGGTATACAAATCAAATAAACTAAACTAAACTAAACTAAATATTAAAAACAATTAAAATCTATATAAATTTGGCCCAAAATTTAAAAAACCACAAACCAATTAAACATTTAAAAAATTTTTAAAAATTTCTTCCTAAGCCAGCCCAGCTTGCTGGAAAAAGTGGGTTTTAAGGGCACGGCGGAAGGCATTGAGGTCCTGGATTCTTCTTATCTCCGGGGGCAACTGATTCCAGAGGGTAGATGCCCCCACAGAGAAGGCCCTCCCCCTGGGGGCCACCAGTCTACATTGCTTGGCCGATGGCACCCCGAGGAGGCCCTCTCTGTGGGAGCGCACGGGTCGATAGGAGGTCGTTGGTGGCAGCAGGCGGTCTCAAAGATAGCTAGGCCCTATGCCATGGAGCGCTTTAAAGGTGATAACCAACACCTTGAAGCGCACCCGGAAGACCACTGGGAGCCAGTGCAGCTCGCGCAGGAGCAGTGTTACATGGGAGCGCCAGGCTGCTCCCATCACTACCCGCGCTGCTGCGTTCTGGACCAGCTGGAGCCTCCGGGTGCCCCTCCAGGGGGGCCCCATGTAGAGAGCATTGCAGTAGTCAAGGCGAGAGGTGACGAGGGCGTGAGTGACTGTGCACAGGGAATCCCGATCAAGAAAGGCTGAAGCGCAGCTGTAGCAGGACATACCTGAAGCTTCAGATGGGGAAAGCAAACAGCTGCAGCTGACCAGCGATGAGGAGGAGGAACTGCCTTCTGTACCCGATCCGAGAACACGTAGGGCAGAGAAAAGGCAGGAGCAGAGAAGGTCAGCCTGATTACTCGCAAGGAGGCTGCCTTGCCCCCGCTTGGTGGGCTGCACCAGAAGCTTCGTATTTAGCACAGCAGGCAGATGGAGGCGATGCTGGGAACAAGGTGTTTTTTTTCCTAGCTGTGTGTTTCCTGCCTTGCGCTGGATTGACACTGTGCCTTGATTTGGATCGTGCCTTGTGAGCCCTCTTGAGTTGTGGATTAAGTTTTGCCTGGTGGATTTATCTTGTTTGGGAAACTTTCAAGGGCCTTGTGGACTCACTGGCCATTGCTCTCTGGGCTAGCAACGGTCTGCTTTGGGCTGGACTTCATTAGGACAGTCCTGGGGTTTTGGTGAAGGGGATTGCTGGGGAATATTCATAAACTTACCAAACCACCATTACCTCTGTGTGTGTGAGTGAGTGAGCCGGACAGCACAGAATAAGGTATTGTACACCGGTCAGGTGAGGCGAGCAAAGTATGTAAAAAGAGAAGCCACTTTCTGGTTGGTGACTCAACTGTAAGAGATGTCAATTTAGGAAAGGAGGTGGACGTTTGGGAAAAGGTGTGGTGCCTGCCAGGTGCTGCTGCCAGCAGAGACAAGAGGCATCTTTTAAGGATAGTCAAGGATGCCAGTAAGGACTTTGATGTTGACGCTGTTGTACATCTTGGCACCAACTTGGCATCCCCTTCCAGGGGATTTCCAGGGTTTGAGGCGGGAACCTATCAGGATGGCTCTAGTTTAAGGATGGCAAACCTTTTAGACACCGAGTGCCCGAACTGTGCACACGTGCATGCCCAAACTGAACGTGCGTGTGTACGAATGCATGCATGCATCGACATACATATGCATGCACCAACATGTGCACATGTGCCAACATGCGCACGAACCTGTGCTGACATGCACCAACATGCGCACAAAATTGCACGGTCATGCGTGCACATGCACCAACATGCGTGCACATGCGCCAACATGCACACGAACCTGCACTGACATGCACCAACATGTGCACAAAATTGCACGGTCATGTGTGCACATGCACCAACATGCGTGCACATGCGCCAACATGCACACGAACCTGCACTGACATGCACCAACATGTGCACAAAATTGCACGGTCATGTGTGCACATGCACCAACATGTGTGCACATGCGTCAACATGCACACGAACCTGCACTGACATGCACCAACATGTGCACAAAATTGCACGGTCATGCATGCACATGCACCAACATGCGTGCACATGCGCCAACATGCACACGAACCTGCACTGACATGCACCAACATGCGCACAAAATTGCACGGTCATGCGTGCACATGCACCAACATGCGTGCATGCGCAGCAGGGACCCAAAGACTAGCTGGCCGGCGGGAGGCGGTGCATTCCAACAGCGGCAGCGCGGCAAGAGGTAAGATCTTTTTCTTTTGTGAGCTTCTGTTTTGTCTTTTGCAGGGAAACAGAAGCTCACGAAAGAAACGCCACGGAGATCTGACCTGGGGCGACGGCATGTCTGCCAGCAGAGTAGGCTCTGTGTGCCACTTCTGGCACGCGTGCCATGGGTTCGCCATCGCAGCTCTAAGTCTTTTACTTTTTCAGAGGTTTTACCTGTATATAAAGAGCAAAAAGGAAAATGTTGG